TTGCTCTTCGAAAACTTTGTATTCAGTAAAATATTTCTGAATATAAAAAAATGTCACTTTTAGGTCTGAATTGAAAAGATCAGTTCCACTTTTAAGGGCAAATTAAAACTAGTCATAGATACGCCATATGTTTTTCTTTAATGTTGATTGACATACCAACAAAGTGAATAAATGAAAATTAAGAAATGACAACAGTAGATTTCTAAAAAAATTGAGGACATACTTTGAAATGTTCTTATTGAAAAACCTGTGGTACCATAGCAATATCAGGGAAAGCTTCCAAATGATGTGAGAAAATCTAAGAGCAAAAGAAATGAATCACAGAACACCTTAGGTTGGAAGGGACCTTAAAGACCATCTAATTCCAAATCCTCTCTCAGGGGCAGGGACACCTTTCACTAGATCACATTGATCAATGCCCCACTATTAACCTTGAACACTTCCAGATATGGACACAAGGGTTATGGAAAGAATAATGTAAAGAAAATAGCAAAAGTTTCCAGTGAAAGTTCATAGAAATCATGTGAAGCCAATATAAATTAAAGTCCATTCGCTTAAGTCCAATGAATTTCTTAAGGATATAGAACTCCAAATATTTTCCTTAAGCAACGAAAACTCAGCACAATGCTGTTACCATTAAAGATTTGAGTACATTTGTCAGGTCATAAAAATGAAATTAGGAAGCAGAAAACACGGACATTATTTAAATGCTAACATTTAGAAAAAAAGTGCAAGTAGTAAATATGTAGGTGTTTACAGTCTCATAGCCTTGTTGGCGTAGAATTTTAATGGCTAAGTCACGAGCAGCAGTGAGTGGAAACTGCTCAGTGCTGCTTTCCTTTCAGGACCCTCTATTCAGGCCATCTGTGGCTCTTTACCTCTCTTAGTCCAGAAGCAGTAGGAAGGGGGGAAGTCACTGTAAGGAAACATGTCTTTGGAGCACACTTGTAAAGATGTAAAAATGCAGGCCATGAATGCTGTGTGCATATGGGGAAGTGGAAATGAGAAAGCAAGGCAGTGGGAATAAAAAGGCATGACAACCACCTGACTAAGCATGCAACATCAGGGGAAAACCAAAACAAGTACAGAGATGAACAGTACTGGAGATGAACTTCTCTCTCCTCTGAGAAAAGGCAGGTTTGGGAGAAATTTTGTAGCATGTAGAACAGAAACACATTAGTCATTGAAGCACTTCACATTATTTTAATGTCATGTCATTACCAAACTGGATAGCGCCTCTTAAATAATTCTTTTAACACTGGTTCCTCTGATAGATTTTGTGAAAACATCTTCAACTCCTGGTACTTGCTGGCCAGATATACCAGTTCAAATACCAGTTCTTTCCCATGCAACATCAAGAGAGTGAAACACTGCTGTTCAAGAAATATTCCTGTACTCAACAAGTGTACTTGAAAGTGCATCATTCTGTTGAGCCTCCTAAATGAGGTGCCCACAATAGCATCTGAGTTTTAAAATGCCACTAATTATCATATTGCCACAATTCTTTTGAATATCAAAAAAATAAAGATTTTCTCCTGTTTATTCTTAAAGGAATAAAAAAGCAGCATCCCAAAGCAGTCTATAAGCCAGTAGTGTTTTGACAAGAATAATGTAGAAAGTACACATCACATTGAATAACGTTTGCATGAAGCTGCTGCTTCTATAAACTTGCCTTATATGATTTAATAAAACTAAAATATTTTCCAATATTTTCCAATATTTTCCAGTTATGTTTATCTCCCTGAGAAGCTGTCCTTTTTGGTTGGAAGATGTTTGGAAAGTAAAAGAACATAAGCAACTATTTTGTGGTGATCACAGGTTTTTGGGTTTTTTTTTAAAGAAAGCTGTTCCCCTTCAAAAAAGCATGTTACACCTACAGGGTATAACCAAGGATTTAGCAGCACACTTTATTTATCCACAAACATACTGATTCTGCTTAAAGTCAGGAGGACTATTCCTGCACCAATTTATTCTCTGTATCTTTCAGCTCAAATTTCTTTCTTCAGATTTCTATATAATGAAAAGTATACTAAAGGTTGCATTGGTTTTTTGGGGATTTTTCCCCCCACATTAGTAGCTGTCTTATTGAGTCGAGTGGGTTCTGCCACAAAGCCAGCCTTTTTCACAAAATGCCAGCAATTAGCTGGTGACAGCTTCTTGGTGAGAACTAACCTGGGCTGAATTGCAACCTGCTACATGCAGGCTGGCCAGCCAGTCCATTTAAAATGTCCTCTCATTTCCCTGATGAAGAAATAAAAATTTAGAAGCAATGACTGCCCCATTTTCCAAATCTTTTGCCGCAAAGACGTTGTGATTCTTGGTGTAAAGGATGCTTTGACGTCCTGTAATGGCACATAAAGAACTTTACAATGCTTTGGTTTTCTTGCTGCTGGAAAACGGATCTTGTATCAGGAGGGGTTTTGGAACAGAGCTTAATCACGAAAAACTACACTGAACGTCTGAAGGGGACAGCGAAAAAAAGGCAAAAGGGAGCCGTCGCTGCAAATACGTAAAGCTTGTCTTTTTGCTAACCAGAGGCTTGTGCCCTCTGCTCAGGGCAGAGCCGCACTTCTCGGGATGGTGGAGCGAGAGGACCGAGCAGCGGCACAAGACGTGCGGGAAAAGGAATGAGAAGACAGGGAGATAGTCAGGAGAAGCCAAAAAGCGCTGACCTAAGGCACGGGGCGCCGGATGCGATGGGAAAGGGATGCGGAGCGGAGGAGGAGCCGATGGCAGCGCCG